GGTGGCGGCTGGGACCGTTGGGGGTGGGTGGGGTGTGTGGCCTTATGACACACTTCCGGTGATGTCAGGGGGTGTGGCCTTATGACACACTTCCGGTGATGTCAGGGGTGTGTGGCATCTGCTAATGAGTTATGCTAATGAGTTCCCCTAGCTCTTTTTTAACGAAACGACCCCTGTATGTAGTATTACAGCTTTCAGCTCTGTTTGGAACATGGGAGGTCTTATGAGAAAAATGAGAATGCCATCGAGTATGTATAGAGTACATGGCCAATCTTTATATGCCCTTGTATTTAGGACTCCTCAGTCAGTCGCTGGAAGACTTGAGCCCAGGCACCAGGCACTTACTAGACTAACGCTTAGTATCTGCACTATTATAGTGTGGCAAGAAGCTGTTTAAGAATCTTCTGTGGCACAGTAGAGTTCCGTGTGGTTTTTAAGTTTTGAAAGTGAGGAATATTGCAAGACATATTTAATTTATTAATAAGTACTACTTCACTAGGCTATTGTGAAGATAACAAAAGTCCAGTAGCTCCATACAGACCAGAAGCTTTTGTGAGTCACAGCTCAGTTCTTCAGATATGTAGGAATCTTTGTTATAGGAAAGATTACAGGAGGAAGAAGGACTTAAGGCAGAGAGTAAATTCCATCATGAATCTTTCAGGTATAAATTCTATGTGTGTGGGGGGAGAAAGGACGTAGAAAAGTTAGGTGTATATTTTGGTATTAAGCTTCAAAGTGTGAACTTTCTGTTGTGAGGATACCGTGGAATAGATAAGAGTAGACTATAAATGGAAAGCACTTTAAATATTAAATAGACTGCGGTGGTACCATGAAACCTTTGTTGGTCAGAAGCACCTCATTGTTTCAGCCTAGGATTCTGTGAGGAGGCTAAAACAGACAAAGGCCCATATTTAATCAAAGTGAGAGGATGAAGAAGTGAAGGTGGAGGATAATTAACCCACACAGAGAGTTATGTACTGCAAGACTAATAAAGCTAAGGCAACCAGAGGGTCAGAAACAAGAAAGGAGTCTAGATTCAGGTGGGTAGTTGTGTTGGTCTGAAGCAACAGAACAAAATTTGAGTTTAGCGGCACACTTAAGACCAAAGTTTTATTCAAGGTATAAGCTTTCGTGTGCACAGACACTTCTTCAGAAGGACTCTTTAGGTCATGGAACAGCACAGCCAGGAACAGACCAGAAGTCAGGAATCCACAAGGCAGATCAGGACAGCAGCAAGATCTACAAAACTGATATCAAGAATCGGAGTCACCAGGATCCCTGCAACTAAGTGTGCATAGAACTGTAGTCCCTATGATATGAAGCAGTCTCCATGCACCCCCTGAACAATCTAATTTGGGTTTCCCATGTCCATGGTTCAATGAACCATTAAAGTATCCACTTAAGTTTAAAGGAGTTTGGTTGAGCAAAACAATTATCCGCATATTCCAAAATTCAGATTGCAAGTGTTTTGATTAATAAAGACCCAAATATTAGCTAAAAATCTAGCAGACGATAAACTGGAAGTATCAATCAGATAAATAAAAAAACACAGTTAACATTTATCATAGATTAATAATTGACATACTTTTACAAAAGGCCTTTAGAACATATGCCCTAAAATGATTATTTAATTAAAAAGCAAATACTTTTGGGGATACTCTATGTAAATGAGAGTTTTAATTGCCTATAAAACTGTTTCCCTTTCTTCTATCTGCCTGAAAGTTGGCAGAAAATCTCTTGGGTGGTGAGTGCAGTCCCTAACAACTTCATCATCCCAATTACTTATAAAAGGGAATCTTTCTCCAATCAGTCTGAAATGTGACAGAGAATATCCCTGGATCAAAGGGAAAAAATCCCTGAAAATTTCATCCTAATTGCATAGAAAACCAATAGAAAATAAGAGCTAATGAATATAACAACAAGAAACACATGTAAATGAAATTTTGGAAACTAAAAACCTGAGGGGAAATTGCTGCTTTTAGAAGAAGAGGAGGAGGAGATTGGATTTATACCTCACCCTTCATTACCCAATGGAGTCTCATAGCAGTTTACAATCTCCTTTCCCTTTTCCCCACAACAGACACCCTATAAGGTGGGTGGGGCTGAGAGAGCTCTTCGAGAACTGCTCTTGAGAGAACAGCTCTGAAAGAACTTGTGACTGACCCAAGGTCACACCACCAGCTGCACAAGGAGGAGTGGGGAATCAAACCCAGTTCTCCCAGGTTAGAGTTCATGCTCTTAACCACTAC